AGCTACCCTCGGCCCCAGAAATCTAAATACTTTATTTCAAGTATAGTGTTTTAAACATAAAAAACTTGAAATACAATTATATTTGGTCAATGAATTTTAAATAATGTATTTGAAGAAAGTATTTGAAGTTAATCAAACACACATGTATTTCAAAGAATTCAGTCCAGATACAATTGTATTTACAATTTTTTATTTCAAATACTTAATTAGTTAATTATAATTCACATATTTTATACTAAATACTTGACTAAATGCATTTGTATTTGATTAAGTAATGGAAATAATTGAGTTAAATATAAAAAATAATTTGAATTGAAAACAACTGTCCACGGCAAAGTTCGTTATCATGAAATTCAAAATTTACATTTTTGGTCTTATTCCATGGCTATATCTAAACGTAATATACAATTTTTCAAAGCAAAGTCAGCACTATTATGACATGTCATGTCTATTAGTATTATCACAAGATATATGTTGTATGTGTGTGCCGTGTGTAGTTTTTCTGTACTCGTCATTATGATTTCAGACACTCGTATTTGAAATACAATATTTCAATACATTTTTAAATACAATTGTATTTTATCAAGGTATTTGAAATAATTTGGTGATATAAAAATATATCTAAGCAAATTATTTCAAATAACTTATCAAATACAATGGCACCTGAAACAATGTATTTCAATAAAAATGCATTTCGTATAATTTATTTGAAATAAAGTATTTGAACTACTTTCTATTTAAATATCGTATTTAATATTCATCGTATACAACAAAATACAAATCCGTTTAAAATACATAGTATTTTAAATAAAAATAACGAATATTCTTTTAAACAATATTTAATGATTGAAATACTTTATTTCAAACAAAATATTTATTTAAATATTTAATTTGAATTACTATTTTAAATATAATAAGAAATACAGTATTTAGTTAAGATATTTAATTTCAATAAAGTAATTAAGTATTTCGATAGCTTGAACTAAAGCTGAAATAAAGTATTTCATAGTATTTCAACTCTGTTAAATACTTCCCATCTCAGCCTGCAGATGAATCTTCCAAAAAAGGTGCGTACTATAGAAGTTTGTGAAAAAGTACTATGAAAGTATTTTAAAAAATACTTGAAAAGTTCCATGAAGTTCCCACAAATGATTTAGAGTCTTTTGAAGTCGACATTAATGTCACACAAATATCTTGTATTCCAAGGAATCTAAAGCCATTAAAATTGATGAAATGCTTTTAAAGTCCTTTGAAACCCTTTGGAGATGTGTTCGAGACTTTCGATGAGTTCAAAGTACTTCTAAATCTCTCGACTGCTTTAAAAGTCTTTAATTCCCTCGGAGTCTCAAAACGACTATGCAACTTTCATCGAGATTTCCAAAAGCTCCTTGAAATATTTTGTCCCGGTAAATGAAAATTAAAAAGAAAAACCTCTCAAAGTGATGGACTAGTCTCTCTCTCTTTCTCTCCTCACTCCATTCAACGAAATACTCGAGTACAGCACCACGGACCAAAGACTTTCTCACGATTTGAGGGACTTTCCTCTAGTTCGCGGCCAGGGGGGAAGAGGTGCCTTTTCATTCAGTAAGAAAAAAGTGAGAAAATTCCCACCCACGTACTCAGAAAGTGTCACTGTACGATTCTTCAAGTCCTAATTCAATACGTTCCCTTTGACGGTGCTAATGATGATGAAACATCAGCCAAGCGTAACCGTGGATGGAGACAACAATGTAATTGTTCTCGCGATCTTTTGACCCTTGCACCCAATGTTTCGACCCTCTTAGCGCACCAAACAACCCATTGATGGGATGCGAAGAAAAAAAAAAAAAAAAAAAGAAAAAAGGTCCACACCAAAAGAGATACTATATACATATTTCCGTAGGTGGTTCAGATTAAACGCGACAAAGCATTTAAATTCCGCGAAAGGTGAGCTCGCAAACTGGTCGGGAAGTGCGTTTGGGGGTGGGTGGCGAGAAAAATACGCAGACAGGGAAGCAACGCTGGATAAATAGGTACACCTGAGGGAGGGGTGATCAAAGTTATGTATACACACACATACACACACATACACACACAAGGTTCGGGGAGAAAAGAGAGAGAGAGAGATATCGGTGATTCGCCTGTGCGCATATTGATTGGTCTCTCACTCGAGCGGTACACAAAATCCTCCTCCTCTTGGCTGGCCGCGTGAGAGTCACCGTCCCGAAAAGAGAGACACAAACGCTTCACACTCGACGTGTACACACACCCATGCACGTGTAATATATGTATACATCATACACCCTGGCCGAGGAAAAGCGGAGATACCGAAGCTCGCCGATATAACAGTGGGGGAGGGGGGGGTGGGTGAGCCTCACGCCCGTACAGGTACATACACATCCGTCAAAACGGCGAGCGTGCGAAATTCGAGAGGCTATACGAGGGTATAGGTTAGAGGGGCGAAAAAGCGAGCCGTGGGGTAGGGGGAGGGTGGTAGAGCCCCCGCGCGCTCCTATCGATCGCGGACTGACCCACATCCAGAGACAGTCACAGGCAGGGGCGCCTCCTCCTCCCCCGGCCCCTATATACTATTACTACAACTACTACTCGCTATCAGCGAGCCAGCCGGCCAGTCCCTCCACCCCCTGTTGGTATACATATATACACACACGCATGGGGGAGTAAGAGGGCGAGCTTGGGTGCTGGGCAGGGGCGTCCCCTCGCGGGAAAACGACCGAACCACCCTGCCAGGCTCTTTTCCCCCTTTTTGAGCTTGCGCGTGCGAGTGAGAGGGAGCTCGGCTTGCGGGTGCTCACCAGTCGGTCCCGAGGCAGAGCAACGACACGGACTGATTGTCGAACGAGGGGGAGAGAGAAAGGGGAAAAAAAAAAAAAAAAAAAAAGGGGGAGAGGAGGTAAAAGGTCGTGCACGTACCCAGGAACAACAAGCTCTCCCGTGTGTCCCTTCGAGACCTCCTCCTCGTTGATCAGAGTGCGTGTATCGCGACGACGTCCGAGTGCGGGTGGATGGGGTCGAGTCGAGTCGTGTTCGGCCCATCAGGCGGGATGGTGACGCCGTGCCCTGGGTGAGCTACCCTCGGCCCCCCGTTGGCCGTATATTTGGATCTTTGGTGGTAAATCTGGCGAGGCGATGATCCGTGCAGGTGTTGGCAGTGCCGGTATGAGTGCTCTCGGTGGTGGTGCTACTGGTGGTGCCCACAGTTGAGAATAAAGGGCGAGTTGGGGGGGGGGCGCGCGCGCGCCCTCTCTCCGGTGTTCCTTCGAGCGGGCGAGCGTCGGCGGCAGCATTGGCACTGAGAGGACCCGGAGGCGGTGGGGTAGGAGGGGGAGCGCTTCTTCGCCTTTCGCACACACGCACCCGCAACCCTGGCCTGCCACAATCCCTTCGACTCGGTCACCGTAAGTTGATTTCTTTTTTTTTTTTTTTTTTTTTGGTTGTGTGAATGAATACCTTACTGTAACATTTGCTAGCGTCTGACCAATATCGTCCGTTTCTACTTGCCTGTCTTCTAGCCACTGGACCAAACTCACCCCGTAGGTTTTCGATCCCAGGTTGACCAACTCGTGGGGGTACGTCCATCTCGGATTCGTGATGCTTTTTTTTTCCTTGTTTTTCCGTCTACTCTCTCTCTCTCTCTCTCGCACACGCCTCATCGATTTCCCCGACCGAGCCGTACGGCCGTGTTCCTCCATACATTTTCCCTCCCTCGCAGTGTATACACGGCAGCGGTACAAAAGCAGCTCGGCTTCCGCCCCCCCCCTTGTTTTCAGCCGTGAGATATACGCGCGTGACTTTTTACTAGCTTCCGCGTAATCAGAAGGAGGGAGGGGCGTAGCGTGTACAATTGTCAGTGGTACAACAACGGGGTATGCCGTCCGGCGCAAAATGCTCCAAAGAGCCGGTGCGGATGGTTCGCTCGAATGAGAAAAACGAGAGGAAAAAAAGGAAATGCCCTCGCGCGTGCCATTCGAGCCAAAGTAGATACGGCCGAGTATTGGTCGGGCACCGCTCGTAGTGTGGTTATGTAGTGACAGTAGCGTAGGCGAGTCGGCGGGGCGCCCCCGGGGCTGAAAAATCGGTGTCTCTCGATTGACTTTTTACTCTTGCTCGTTCCCGACGACCAAACAACTATTTCTCTCGTTGGCCAGGCTTGTGGTTGTCCACGGGTCATTCCGTCAAAACTAGCAATAAATCACGTACAGGTTGTTGGTGGGTGGCTCAACGACTCGATAAATTTTGTGATCCATCTAAAAGTGCTCGCGAAACACGCGGATCCAACGCCGTAACATAACCTCAAAGAACAACTGAGATCCACCCCTCAGCCCTGCGTAGAAGTGTTTGGTTGTTTGAACTTTGTTGAACTACTTTGTTTTACAATTCTATCAATCGTTGCCTAAAAATACTCAACGATTGATTCGAAAGGACGGGCACATTGGGCTAAAAAACCACATGATTCACATTGGTGGTGCTTCACCACCACCAGTATAGTACGAACGAGCATATAAATATACAACTATAGCGTACATACGTAACAATCATCAAGTGAAGTAATCGCGACCGACCGACGTGACGTGCCGTATCTCCCTCTATGTAGTTGCACAGACTTATCGAACGCTCGCGTAGGTGTACGAATTTACGTATCGTATTTGTATATTAAAATATACACACATGCCTTACCCCTCTAGCAGCGGTGACGTGTTCGGGTGCCTACGTGTATAGGTGAATGCATACCTCGAGCGTGTGGCGAGACTCATCGTAAGGGGGGGATCAATAAGCAGTGCCGTATACACGTCGTCGCGCGCCGGCCGCGAGAGGAAGAGCCCCAAGTGATGCACAGCAAGCGGAGCGGGGCAGTACACTACCACCGCCTCCTCGTTGGGGTGCCTCGACTACCCTCCCCCTTCCGCTCTCTGTCTCTTGCTCCCGTGGTGGATGATGCTCTGCACGCGTATGGTGAATTCCACGCTACTCCTCGTACTTACCCCTTTTTCTTATTTCTTCGTCTTTATCATGCACTGGCTTTCTTGCTCCCGCGTGTGACGGCGCGACAGACTTTACACCGCTGTCTGTACTCCCGAGGGGCCAATTATACTTCGCGCAGACGAGTTATGCATCCACGAAGCGTGCACTATAGTGTTTTATAAGGATAAAAGTCAAGTGCGCCACGATTAGGATCATCAAAGTGAAAGTGAAGTGGCACTTAACGAGTGAAGTGAAACTTTTTTTTTTTTTTTTAATTATAGCTAAAGTGAAGTTGTTTTCGTAGCCATGTTTGGATAAAGCGCCAGCAGCTGAGCAACGCCTTCTGAAGGATGAATGTAAGTGTAATGGGTGGTGTTGGTGGGTTTGGCCCTTTAATCATTGGGGATTAAAAGGAATTTCATCAATTAATATCCTTGAGAAGCTGCAAATTTAAAAATAGTGTCAATATAAAAGATCGCCGTCGTATTAAAATAAAATCAGTTTTCCTACAAAAATTGTACTCGTCAAGTTACGATTGTTTTGTTGATTACAATTTACCGAAATGCAAGAATCTCATTTTGAAAAATCCACACACGAAGTTTAAATATTACGGTGCATCCAAAAATCATCAAAACTTCCGCGTTTACGCGATCCTCCTTCTCCGTTTTGTCGGAGAAAACACCCCAAAGTTCACCACAGGCGAAATTCCAATCCAACCCCCTCGTGCCAGTTCAAATGCGTGAAAATCACAGTCAAGTCAAGGTCCGCGCTGGTCGACTGATTGAAACAATATTTGTCAGTCTCAACATCCGAAATATCATCACATCCTTTATACATATACATATATATANTAAAATAAAAATATTTAAATAACACAATAGACTTGTATACAATCACTTTGTTCTACTTATGGATGCATCATTGAATCCAACAAGAAAACTGAACATTCATCGTACGTAACATTAGATCTTAATATTGATAAGATTCCGTCTCTCTCTATACTATGACGAGAGGTCACGAGTAGTTCATCTATAGGTCGTTCTCACTTCCCCCGTCCGATTCCGCGCCGCAATCTCGGGCGCGCACTCGGGCAAGAAAGGGCTATTAAGACAAAAGGAGGCCAGAAATTAAACTCCCTCCGTCTTGCTCCTTCGTCCTGGTGATTTTACCTTGTCCTATAGGATATCGCCTCCTTTTATTAGTCGCGAGATTTCGATGAGAAACTCCAGGAGTGGAGATTCGATTGGACGCTTTGGATTTTCGAGTGGTGGTCCTCGAGTCGAATCTCGAGACCATAAGTCTCTTTTTTGTTTTTTCCGTGCTCCTCCTTTTTTTTTTTTTTTCGATGATCCATAAGGGCATTATTAGATAGAAAGGGTTGAAGTAATCAGGGAAGACAGGCAGGATCGGTCTACTGTGTACTAAATAGTTAAAAAAAAACAAGTAAATTATTTGTTTTCCGATGGTGTTTATTGATGGTCACGTATGTGATATCTTTTTCGAGTCTCTTGTGATCGATATCGAGCTTATTTATAATCGCTTCGGATGGCTTTTCTGATATGAATTGTATGTACTTTAGGTATCGACGTAATTAATTATCATCTTTTACGTTTTTTTTTTTTTGCGGTAAAAAGTTTCATCCAACAAAAATATGTACGCATGAGTAATAAAATGATGAAATCCTGATTAAATAGTTAAACAATAAAATTTATTATTTCGCAGATTAAAAAAAAAAAAAAAAAGTTATCTTAGGTGATACTTGTTATTTACGGGTGAAAAAATACCTACTATCGCAAAAGATTAATGCTTAAGCCTAGTATTACTGGATGACACACCCGTTTTTCTACAACTTGCCTTTCCGGACGGATTATACGAAATTATCAGCAGAAAACGAAATGTCTTCAGGTGCTAAAATGTGTGACTTTCTTTTCTATGACTATCAGGGGTACGTCCATCTCGGATTCGTGATGCTTTTTTTTTCCTTGTTTTTCCGTCTACTCTCTCTCTCTCTCTCTCGCACACGCCTCATCGATTTCCCCGACCGAGCCGTACGGCCGTGTTCCTCCATACATTTTCCCTCCCTCGCAGTGTATACACGGCAGCGGTACAAAAGCAGCTCGGCTTCCGCCCCCCCCCTTGTTTTCAGCCGTGAGATATACGCGCGTGACTTTTTACTAGCTTCCGCGTAATCAGAAGGAGGGAGGGGCGTAGCGTGTACAATTGTCAGTGGTACAACAACGGGGTATGCCGTCCGGCGCAAAATGCTCCAAAGAGCCGGTGCGGATGGTTCGCTCGAATGAGAAAAACGAGAGGAAAAAAAGGAAATGCCCTCGCGCGTGCCATTCGAGCCAAAGTAGATACGGCCGAGTATTGGTCGGGCACCGCTCGTAGTGTGGTTATGTAGTGACAGTAGCGTAGGCGAGTCGGCGGGGCGCCCCCGGGGCTGAAAAATCGGTGTCTCTCGATTGACTTTTTACTCTTGCTCGTTCCCGACGACCAAACAACNAAAAAAAAAAAAAACACACTAGCGTGCATTACCCAGAAAGGAGGTATATACGTGGAGGGGGGTGTGCAATGTACGTGTGCAACATATAGGGGGCGCTCCATGTGTCGGTACGGTATCGCGTGTATATATATATGTAATGTATATAGTTTCTCTTCGTCGTCACGAGCTATTCTTAGAAGAGTCTCCCGGGGCGCTTTTGCTGCAGCTCGCGATGCTCTCTGTCTAAACAACGGAAATCATTTCAAAATGTCCAGAAAATTCTTTCAAAGAATCTTGATTTTTTATCAAAAATTTTGAATTATGTTTTTACATGATTTAATATCAAAGTTATCATGTGATTTAATTATCTTCATTAAATTTACATTAATTACGTAAAAAAATTTTTTTTTAACTTCCGTATATTTAGTATTTGTTAAGCAACGAATATTTTAATGCTGACCGCACATGTACGGCCTCACAATGAAAGTTCATGATTATTCAGGAAATCGGGAGCATTAACATTTTTGGCTTCCTTTCAAATTCTCGGAGTACTTATGAAAAGAAGTCCATGACTGTTTCCTTAATATTCTTTTTTTTGCTGTCTGCCATATTGATCATTTGGATTGAAAACTACTGCACGCTATCTTTTCATTTACGTTTTATTTGTATAAAAATAAAATTCATAATAATACGATGTCATGTACTGAGGGAAGGATTTGTTTATTATCAACTATAATTACGTTAACAGAAAATTAGTTTACGTGTTCTTTGTAACTTTTTAAATTTTAACTGACGCAGACGGCATGTTAATAGTTAACATGGCATATTTACGTTGAACACGTCACCACGTGGAATATATATTATGAAGTCAATTACTAACTAGTCCTTTTCTCAGTGTGGATTTGTAATACTACACACGTATTGTGAGTTATGAATTAAATATGTTAAGAA